CAGAACTCACATTTTGATAGCACCCAATCACGTTGAAACATCGCAGGAGGCTTCGCAATGAGATGTTGTAACTGGTTTTACAGACAAACACCATGTTCATTTGCATGGGTGAGAATAGAACTGAGGTTAACCTTACTGTTAAGCTTCGTACATGAGTAATGGCCACTTGTACGAATAGCTGGAGAGCATCTGCGGAGCAGGACCCCACTCAGCTGTCAATTGGCCTCAGACGGTAGAACTCTTACCTCCCAGTGTGGAGTCCTGTAACTTAGTAGTTAGAGCACTTGCCTCACAAGTGAGACGACCTGAGTTCGATTCCCGGGCAGGGCGAAATTTAGGCAGGTTTCCTTACTCCAGGCGTCTCTGTTCATCTAGCAGTAAGTAGGAACCCCGTTGTCAGTTGATTGGTGGATCACTTTTCCGGGGGCTAATAATCCCTTCCGAAAAATAATAATAATAACTTGATCACTCAATCCACGAGTATTTGTGGAACGCTGTTGTGCAAAATTGGCTGCCGCGATTCGCCCACAAAATATACAATCAATTCATTTTACAGTTTATTCTTTGAGACGACTCGAATTTGTGATAATATTATTATTGTGCAGTGTAGTTTGGGGGGCACCATTGCATTGTCAAAGGTTCGGTCCTTCAGATGAGATGTGAAACCAAGGGTCAAGTCTGCCTGTCCTTGCGCGGATGTTAAAGATCCTGTGACACTGTTGGAAAAAGAATGGAATTTCTACCTACCCAGCAATCCCTCAAATTGAACAGTCATCGCATTGATTTTATTTGGAATTTTGCTGTTTGCCTACAGAAAAAGTCTGTCGTGATGACCACAAAGTGTTTTTCCGTTTGATAGGGTGCCGGAAAAATTGTCAGTTCTTTTATAACACAGTCAGGAGAAAAGGGAGGAAAACAGATAACATGGGTCTATCTGTACTTTAACCTTGTATTTTATCTTTAACTTTTAACCATGTTTTGCTTCTTGAAATGGAATGTAGTAATAATAATAACGCAACCCAATATCTCCGAAACCAACAGTACAGTGGTCAGCCCAGGTCACAGTTAGAAAGTTGAAGCTCGCGACAACATATTGCTCTTAGAACCAGCCACTCCCTTGGTCAGCCTCTGATCCGTGTTGGTGATAATAATAATAATAATCTTTGCATTTGATGTAGCGCCTTATCATGTCAGCAGTGTCCCCACAAACAGTCGTGGATTGAAGTGACCAACTTATTATTGTTTATTATTGTTTTTTTAAAAAATATTACTTGAAGGGATCATTACCCCAGAAAAAGCGATCCGCCAATCGACTAACAACCGGGTTCCTACTTACTGCTCGGTATACAGAGGCGTGTGGAGTAAGGAAACTTGCCTAACCTTGCACCCTGCCGGGAATAGAATCCAGGTCTCTCGCTTGCGAGGCGAGTGCTCCACAACAACAACACCAACTTGCAGTTATATAGCGCACTTCACGAGGGGTGGCGTCCCGGAGTGCTTCACAGTGGCGGTACCTGACACCGATCCAGGGGGAGATGGAGGGGGGGAGGTGACCGCAAGCACGATCAAAAAAGGAAAGTCTTTGGGCGGGATTTGAATATGGGGACAGAGGGGGTAAGGTGGACGGATTGAGAGAGAGTTCCAGAGTTTCGGGGAGTAGTGGCGGATGATGGAGCGGAGGGCAAGAGGGACAAATAGGAAGCCGGAGCCAGCCGAGCGGAGGCAACTCTAACCACTAAGCTACGGGATAGGTGCCAGCAAACCAGCCATTATCTACGGGCTTTGGGCGTCAGCAGGGCAGGACAGGGCAAGACAGTCTGGCTTCCGCTTCCAACAGATTTTTTTTTAGGTTTTTATATTTAATTGTCAGACGTAATAATCATCGCGTAATACTTTAAAAACGCAAATCGCAATAACAAAATAAGCAAAGATAGATGGTAATATTTTGAGTCATGTCATTAAAAAAAATGACATGACTAACTCTGTGGTCAGGAAGTTTACAGAACTTCTAGAGTTTATTAATGCACGAGTCTCGATTGGTCCCGTTGACCTGACATCGCCTCATGAGGATTGCAGTCCCAAATCACGTGTTATATCAGATACTGTTGAAGATTTCAGTCCTGTCAGCTGTAAACAGCTGTCTGATCAGGGTACTGAGTGAGATACTAAATGTCTATTAGATGTGCAAGAGCCAGTCAGTAAGTCACAAATATACTGTGCACATTTAATGATTCTAACACACTAATATAGAAATGACTTAAAAATTATAGCACAAAAAGAGACGATTTGACCCATTGCTGGCTACTCCACTGGACCTAACCAGTCCTGTCCTCAATTCCTTAGAGCATTTTATATTATTTCTCTTCAAATACTTTTACTACGTGGAACACCTCTCAGTTACCCAGCCCCTCATCCACTTGGCCATTCTTCATGTTGGAACCTCGTCAACGAGCGTTACCAGACAGCCAGGAAAGCAGACTTGCAGCTGTGTTGAACTGTGTCCTCAATTGATGTCCCCCCACGCACACCTTCCAACTGTGGCCTCTAGATTTGGAACAACAACAACAAATTACATCGTGTTGGGAAGACGTCCCAAGGCGCTGGACAGTTAGGGATTTGGACCCAAACTGGCAGACCGGGCAGGGGACATAGAGCAGGATCAGGAATCCAGGCTGGTCTCCCACTTCTTAACCTGGGGCATTGAAGACAATTGTTTATGAACAACTTGCACTTCTACAGTGGCTTTCAGCGTGTTCCATCAGGGTGACATACCCACATTACTGTCAGGACTCACTATTTGTAAATACTGCATTTTAGACTCTCCCCATAACGTATCTTCTTTGGCAGGTTTAACGCAATGCTGTAAATATTGAGAGGGACATGAAAGATTTGACACGGCACTGTTTTTTGGAAGAAGCTTGCAGATCGCGTTACTTTTTACTACTCCAGAGCCAAAAAGATTGGGATGGATTTCAGCCCAACAATTTAACTCCTGAAACCCTCCACATGTGTGGTCCAGGAGACCAGAACTGTTCTGTTATTCCCAATTAGCATAACAGCCTAGTCCAGGTTTGTGTTGGGTCAATCGTGTGGGAAGGTTGTATTATGGTTTCTTGTCCACTGAGGTTCTGTGCTGAGATGTTGCCTAAACTCATTCTCTTCAGCCACCAGGAAGAGACTTTTATCTCAGCTGCGTGAGTGGGTTTATATTTCAAACTGGTTGCCAACTGTAGTTTAGATCACAAAGAGCCGTATAAGCACATTGTAGCTTTGCTCACCCTCTGGGTATAAGAGAAACATTCTCAGCTTTTAATACACGCACCTTCGCTCTCTCACGTAACATCTGCAAAAATCATTCTTGGTCCCTGGCCAACAATGAGACCTGTTAAGTACAACAGTGAATTAGTGAGTAGTACTCGCTGACCAATCCAAAGGCATTCTTGACCTCTGCGCATTTTTGACCATAGAGGTCCTAAAGTCCATGAAAACTTGTTGGTTCTATTACACCTCGTGTTTTAAAAANTATTTAATTTTCCATTGTTTTATTGTACTGGAAACAACTTCTCTGTAAATCTTCCAACTGTTCCATTACCTTCCCATTCAGACTGTTCCCTCGACTCCCTCCCACACAGCTCTGGATTCCAGGGTGAATTCTTCAGAAGGATGGAGGCAAGGGACCTCGTGTGCTGTTATAAGACTCAGAAATTTCTTAATACACAAGATGCTCGGAAGAAGTAAAATACATGGAATATTTGTTAGATCCTTGATGTTTGCCCTTGTCATATACGTCTCAAAACACTTCACAAAGATGAAGGGGATCACCAGGCTGAGAGGACAGGAGGGAGGAATTTGAAAGTGTTGACTGAACACATGGTCAAAATACATTTTTAAGACAGTTTTGAAGGCAGGGAGCAAGGGAATGCAAATCAAAGGATTTAGGGATACAGTTCCAGTGAAGGACATTGTGGCTGAATGCCTGGCCACTGAGGGTGGTCTGAAATCTATTACTATTTAACTGTGCGAGTTAAATACAATATGAAGTGAAAGTAGGAGATCCTGATGGGTGTCCTGACATTGATAGATTTCACATGGGGCTGCAGGAGACACTTTGGGCCTCTCCATCCATTCCTAGTTGTTGTCGAGTGAATTGTGCTCATCTCGGGAGAGATGTCAGTGCTCGGAAATGTGACACTTTCCCATATTATCTCCGCCAAATGTTCTGTGCTTTGCTTCCATTCTGTCAGTTCATGGCTGGAGCAGGTTCAGGTAGCTTGAGCAGAAGCATCACTTCTCTGAACAGCTGTCAAACAAGTTATTTCACTATGATACAAGGACCACCAGTTTTTCCATCCACCCACTATCCTGCAGCAACATCTCCTGGCTGTGTGCGTGTGTGGTCTATTTCTCAGCATCTAACTGAACCCAATCCTCACTTGGGCCCAAACCAGTTTCCTGGCCAACCATCTCCCCGAATGAAATTGGTCACTCACTCCATGGCTGTTTGTGGGACATTGCTGTGTGCAAATTAGCTGCTGGTATTAATGCCACAATGTGGTGGTCTACTGCGGTAAGCAGTCTTAACTCCACTTCTGACCGCTTAGCAACCACACCTTGGTCCTCATTCAACTGGTCGTTTTCTCCTTATGTAGGTATGAGCCTTTTAGGAGTCCCATAGCTGTGGTATGCTGGACACATGCCCAGTTCACCTGTGCGTTGATTTGGATTGAGTCACCCTGTGTGCTATTACATGAACGTGTTCAGTAGTGTAGCTGGGAGCACAAGATCACACAAACATGACGTTCTTCACTTGTGCCCATTATACCCTTGCACAGATAGACGTTGTCTGTGTCCTCACCCCGCTCAGCTTTTGTACCCTGTCTGGGTATTGCACGGAGACATTACCCTACGTGAAGCATGCTATATAAATCCAACTTGTTGTCTCACGTAACAGTTGGGTGCATTTAACAAAGTACGGTTTAAGAACACACCAGAGTCACAGCTTGTGATGAATGTTTTATTAGTGATGTAAAGAATATGAATGATAAATTGACATCAGAGATGAAAGGTGAACAAACTCACTATCTGTAACAGGCAGAGAAAGAAACACTTTCAGAAACCTAAACGAGCTGCATCCGTTGAGTTTATTCTTTTATTGGATCAGCTTTATATTGAGGTGACCCTGTCGCTGAGAACCACCTAATAGCAACCGAATAAACTCGCAGGATCTCCCACCTCTCATTCCCTCAGAGATAGACAACAAACAAACGAGGAGAGAGAGGTTCATTAACAACGGGCAAGTGAATACCAGGGCATGAAGAAATTTACTGTTTAAAAGAATAATTTCTACCCAGGCTTTGATCCATGTAATAACTTTGAGAAATGGGTGTAAATCGGGTGAGATTTTGATTTGAGGCAAGCATTCCTGACATTACTCCAGTAAAGCATTAAACTGAACTGGGAGTGTGCTTTACTACACTAGTTCATGGATCAAGCTGAAGGTTCCTCGGGCAAGACTACACTCTGTAAAGATTTTACGTTACATTGCGATTTTTTTGACATGGTGTCTGAACGACAAAGAAGTTCAAGTATTTTGCTCCAATGGATCACTGAACAGGCCAGATCCAAGGAGACTCAACTTTACCAAATGCACAGCAAAAGGCATGTTCTAACTGTAGGTAACAGCTGACAGACACAAAAACAGAAATGCTTGGAAACACTGGGCCTAATGAAGACACAAGTGATCCCTTTGACCATTAGCTTATATACCATTCTATATTTTGAGCTCAAGTGAAATTTTCAGTCATATTTTCTGGAGAAGAACAAAGTAACAGATTTATCCCCTGAACCCTAAACCCTTCCACCCCCATCTCACCTCATCCTGGTGACTCAATCTCTGACAGCAAGACACCAAATCTCCCACCCAGCACATTGAATACATGGCCAAAACCAGAATTAAGGTAAACCAAACCTGTAGCAAAAGGGATTCTGGTAACAGTGCAGATTGGGGATGGGGTTGGGAGAGGGATACGAGAAGATACAAGCAGTCCTGAGTCCCTGTATTCTAGATACTAGTCACCAGGCGAACACAGCATTGCACCAAAGGAAAAGGTAATCACAGTAAATCTCACATAAGTCGTATCAGTTGGGACCATACATTGATTGTGACTTACGCAAAGCATGAGTTTTGTGAAACTTATAAATAATAGGAAATAACGGGACTTGGGCGGATGTAGGACTTTGGCGATTGTACAATCTGTACAGATGATTTGTGCGAGTTTTACTCTGTGCTCTGACCACGCATACGGTTAAGCTCTATTCTCAGCCAGTGTGGGAATGGGACAAATGTGCAGCTGAAATAGTCACAAAACCGTTTCAGATCCGGAGGAAAACAATGAGCCGTAAAAACAAACCAAAGCATCTAAGCTTGACCCGAACAGTTTGCTGGTTCCTGCTCAGCATCACACTTGCTGATATCTAACTCATCGGTACATGATTTGCAGACATACCAAGTCACGTATTCTTAGAACTGCAGCCATTTCCACAATTTTCCTCTCTACTTCTGAAGGCAGTGACTTGTGCTAAGGAACAGTCTTTCAAACACCAGCTCAAATCTAGAGGATGAGTGCTGATAGACTATTCAACTGCGCGTGAGGCCATTACAACCAAACCTGACCCTTTCTCCATGTACTTTAAGCAATGATCACTGGATAGTGAACCCTGGCTAACGTTTCCCCATCTCCTCTCCTTGCTCTGCCTGGAGACACCAAGGCCAATTCTAGTGCCCCGTTTAAATCCAGCTTTTTCACCAAAGACAAGGAGTCAAACTAGAGATATTTTAGGTACGGCTAGGGGTTGGGCTTAGCATTAATGGTGCGTTTATGCAATGAACTATCAGGAGAAAGCTGGAGTTATAAATGCGAGAGTCAAGCAGCTGGGTCAGATGGTTATCAATGCCGGGATAAGCCACGTACGAATACTGTGTATATAAACAGTTGTGGTGTGACATGACACAGCATAGCACACCACAACAGTCACTTACACTGGTACCGCATGAGTTAATCTGGTCCAGGAAAAGCTAGTCCTACACCAATCAAGCACAGGTGTCAGAGATGTAGATTTTTCAGTGAAGAGCAGGCATTTTAACACTGTTTTTTAAAAATGTTATACAGCATTACCACAATTCTTAAATATATATATATATTAAAAATACAGTGTAGCATACAAAAGAATTAATGGTTGGGCTTCTTGTATGAAGCGACTCACAGTGTCAAAGCAAACTTGGTGCACCTTGCAGTTCAAACCCCAGATCAGTCTATAGTTTACACTCACGCCTTTACTTGCTGCTGTCCAGGGTCAGTAATTCAATGCATGCAGATGAGATCATGGGAGCTGCCTCCTTTGCACTGTTGCGCGATTGCACAATGTAAGATACAGTACTTCACGACATGGGAAATTGTGTGGACCACAGATATTAAAAAAAAATCGAGGTGTGTCTGGTTTCCACCATAAGTGGACTCCAAGCTGGTCATGTGAGCAATTAATAGGCGGCAAATAGATTGGATAATAAAGCCATAGAATTCGAAAGCCAATATATTCTAAATCGTCGAGTGTAAGCAAACACAGGCAGTACTGCGGTCACTGTTAACAGATTCCAGCTGCAGACAGTAAATCAAACCTTTTACAGATTTATCTATTCTGGCTGTTGAGTTTCATTATATAAAAACTCAGTAAGTATTTATGTGCAACTCTTCAATAGAAACAAGTTGGAAGTTGTGAAGCGCAGTCAGGATGATTTCTGTTTATATGTGGGACACGGGTATTTGTGAAGTGAGGATAGCAACGTATGTGCCAGATTTCGAAGGCGGTTTTGCTTTGCTGCAGATACCTCGGTAAATTAATTTGCAGGAATGGGACATCTCCTTGGAGTGCATTATTACCGCTAGTTTTTCTTCTGTGTTCTACTTCAGTTTAACGTTCAGGCTGACAAGCTATCACAGTGCTCATGCCAATAAGAACCCACTTGATAAAAAGCTGCTGTGAAGCGTCCTGCCTTAACAGCTAAGAAAAGCCAACAAAATCCCGGAGTAAAAAGGGGAGGATTCCAAGCTTACAAATTCAGTACAACAGTCTAAGCAATTTTGCTTGTTCTACTATCAAAGAGAAAACCTTATCAACTATCCAAAGATATCAAAGAGTAAGGAGGAAGATTGAGCCGGGGCGGGAGGGAGGGAGGGGGAAGGAAAGAAAAAAAGATAGGGAGAGAATGGGTCAAACGCTGCCAGTTTTGAGTTCAGCTCCATGGATAAGTGCAAGTGAAATGTTTATCTTCTTCATGAAAGGCGTCACCACGACAGAGACCTGAAAAATGATGAATACATCCAACAATTTTACACAATCCATTGAATCACATCTGTCCCCAAACACTCTTCGCTTGCAGTTTTCCTTCATTGTGTTCTTAGCTGGTAGTCTGGAAGACAAGAGCGGGAAAGAATGAATATAGCATCAACATTTCTACAAAATACAGTCAATCCACTTTACAATATGTTATGTGAAGCGCTTTGAGATGTCTCAACAATGTGATGAGGTGCTATGTCAAATACAAAAATTATTATTATTATTACATAACAAATAGGAATGTCTACGGACTGAAACAGCAAGAGAGAATAAGTGAGATCAGGTCCACCATAAATAGTGGCTGCATTTGTGATCCTGTTTATTCATCCTTTCGAAGATACAAAGCAACATACACGGATCAAAGCTGAATTGGAGAGGTATCACACTCTTTGCTCTTTAGGTCTCCTCCTAAAGGCTGGTTAAAGAGCAGCATTAATAGCAACCTGTCCCCTACTCTTTTAACTGGCGTATTGTACTGAGAGAGGGGAGAAAACCTAAACATATCTGAAGTACAGCGCTGGCTGAGAAGAAAAGAAAGGGAAGGTGAATGAAATGTGATGGAACCTTTATAAAACACTAGAAACTGTGTTCAGTTCTGGGCCCCACACTTTCGGAAGGATGTCAAGGCATTGGAGAGGGTGCAAAGGAGATTTACCCATGCTACCAGGAATGAGGGACTTCAGTTATGAGGAGAGGGTAGAAAAGCTAGGATTATTCTCCTTGGAGCAGAGAAGGTTTTTTGGATAGCTTTCATCAAAAAGCCGGCACAGACACGATGGGACGAATGGCCTCCTTATCGCTGTATAATCCTATGATTCTATGAAATATGTGGCAGTACTTCCACAGGGCAATCCCTATAGATAGCCAAGTGCAAGCAAGCCAATAGTTTGCGAATGGTTCACAGGAAGAAACAAAAAAAGTGTCAAGTAGAAAAAAGTTTCATTCTCTCTCCCACACTCCTCCCTCCAACAGAATCTGATGCATGCGTTTGCAAAGCTAGTTCTCCCCACGCCTACACATCTGTACCCGGTTTGTCTGCATCACTGCGTGTTGAAAGGGTTCTCCTGAACAAATCATTGCAGTACAGTAGCTGCCAATGCTGCTTGAACTGCTCTAATTTCCAATGTCTTCCTTCAGTGTAACCGTTTTTCTGTAAATGCAGACACTTCCACTTGGAGACCCATGATGACAAGCCGTGGCTTGGCTGGGCATCAAGTCTGGAGCAGTATTTTACAGCGACACACACACACACACACTCCTGCGTGGATGTCAGCACTATCTATTTGCTTACCCACAAGCTAAGAACAGAAATGACACAGCACTAAGTATATCAGAGCTGCGAATAGCAATCAACATCACAACATTTCTTTCTCCCTTACTGTATTTATTCCTGCTGAGAAAATAACCATGGCTGTCAGGTTCCATTGAACAGGTTTTGCTCAGACTCTACATGTCACCACATTTGCAGACCCGACTACGCCGACAATCCATCCGAATCCAATAGCACGTCTGACATCACTATATCACTTTACACTCTATGTAGCTGGATGTAAAATTATTTCTGAAATTCTAGAAGTGTTACCACTGAAGATAATGCCCTGTTCAGTGGTTTCACTATAAAAACAAATATTTAATCTCCAAATTGAAGATTCTGCTTAAAAATTTCCATCACTTTGATGACTGAGCTTATGTCCTGATTTGAAACGGTGGGGAGAAAAAAAAAGAGGGAAAGTGTGTAAGGACTGCTGCAGGGCTAAGATACAAGGCAGTTCCAAGTTTTTAGATTCTTGAATTCCATACACATGTAGATGTCAGACAGTGTTTTAGTTTTTGCTTGCTTGATTTTGAGGGTCCGTCCAGGGACTTCCTATACAGAACATTCTTCCAGGAGGCAAAGTGTGTGACATGAACCCAGCGACAGATGTGTGCAGCTGTCAATAGAGCGAGCTTGATATCAGCCGAATGGGCTTTCCTCCTCTCTGCCAAGTGCAAACAAGGATATTCTTTGTAAGAAAGCTCGAGTGCATCAGGAGCTCTTAATGCCTGGGATATGAGCCACTCACCCTATGAGACTACTTTAAAAAGTGCGAGTGGTTAAAATCTTAGTGGAAAGCTTGAATGTAGGAAGGGGAAATAAACATCAAGGATTAGCTGACAGAACAGTTGCTGGTTTTAATTTTAGAACTGTGAATTCCTCAAATGTTTTTGGTCACGAGGTTCCTTGGACTCAGAAAAAGAATGCAAGGAATCTCAGAACCTTTTGAGCTTTATCTTGAAGTGGTCAGACGGCAGCAAACAGTTCTCAGCTTTGGCAAATGCACATGAATAACTAGTGTCATTTAAATGGAAGGAAGAGAACAGACGCCTGTAAGACTCCATTTCTTGCTGCGTTCACAAGGCCGGGAGTTCATTAAAGTTAATCCTGGAGGGGCAACGCTGGACTCCAATCCAAAATGGTGTTTAATCATAACATTAACCATAATAATTTGGTCACTCAATCCACAACTGTTGTGGGACACTGCTGTGCGCAATTGGCTGCCGCATTTCACCCCTACAAGATAGTCAATTCACTTTACAATATATTCTGTGAAGCGCTTTCAGATATCTCAAAATGATAAGGTGCTATATCAAATGCAAGGATTATTATTATTATTGATATGGAAGGAAAGTTTGATCCTGTGTAAAATATGATACAGTCAAACTGCACTTACACACATGCATATGAAGTGTATATCCTAGGGTTTAGGCAGTGCTGGACCTTGAGTAGCACTCCAATTGGTGACAATCTTACCCACAATTAAATGATTCTTAATGACATCGAGGAACATAGATCGAAGAGTGCCAACGATACAGGCAAAGTAGAAAAGTTCAAATTGGAATTTTGAGGGTGCAATCAAAACCGAGTGTTCTCAGAGCTGAGGGGGACATTATGAATGGCAATGAACAACAGTACGTGTCTTTTATGAAAGTACACCACCCAACTCACTGTCAATGGGGAAAGTGATTGACAGATGACTGCACAACATGACCAGACGGGTGGGGTTTTAGCGGTTGCCACATGGATCAACTCAACACTAGAACTCTTCGTACTCTAACAGCAAGCACTGCATAATTACCTTAGGGGGTGGTGGGGGGGGGAGAGGGAGAGAAAGAACTGTAACCCATTTCAACTTCAAAGAATCAGCATTTGTCTTTGGTGGTTTACCTAGGCTATATTTCAAAACCATCAAAAAATAAAAATAAGTCACATTTTTTACAAATTCCCTTTCAACACAGTCCAAACACCATCCCGAAGGCCCTAAATAGCAGCCCTGAAAATTCAGCGTAACGCTGGCCACAAGTATAAAAGGGAAAAGAAAGTTGGCCGCCTTCCTATGTTACTTCCCTCCTCTTACTGTATTTTTAATGGCCGGGTTGTGGAAAGACTGATGGATAGATACATTAAACAAACAAAAAAAAAGAACAGCGTAAAATATGGAACAATCAACCCCTTTAACATGGCGCTGTGTGAAGGTTTCAATGCAGAAAGCGCTGCTTAAAGCATTGCGGGAGGAATAGAACTGCATTATATGTAGGTCAATCTGTATGGGCAACATAGATCCGCTAGACTGGACTTTCCCACTGGACTTGTTACAGCGTTTCCAGTGTTCAGCTCCAACCAGGCAGGAAGAATTCAGTTGTTGAAACATGAATTTTTTTTAGACTCAAGTGTAAAGTGTTGCCGCCTGGAATTAAGTGTCTGCCACAATTTCCAACCAAGATGGTTTTCAGCCGTTTGATCCAATTTAGAACCTTCTACTTTGCCAACAATATTTGCTTTGTTTTACTTCTGGTGCATTTCTCCCGTTGAAAGCAGCAGAATGGTACCTGATTTTTTTTAAAGAAAAACTTATTTAAAGAAAGATTCATCCTGATTCGTAAGAACATAAGAATTTTCTAGGCGAAAGATGACCAAGGTCCATCCAGTTCGCCTTCCACCATCCTGGCAGTCGCTTGACATGTGGTGTCCCAAACTATATAATGTATCCTGAAATATTATTTTCTAGCAGAAATCTATCTAATTTGTTCTTGAAACAAATGACATTTTCTGCTTCCACAGTCTCCTTAGGGAGCCTGTTCCAAAAGTTTACTACTTGCTCACTGAAGTAATGTTTCAACAGATTTGTGTTGAATTTACCCTCCTTCAATCGCAGGCCATGTCCTCTGGTTCTACCGCTCAGTGCAAGATTAAGAGTACTTAAGCAAGTTCCAATTTTATTCCATGGCCTGACACCTAGCGCCAAGTAGCCAGGCACACGCACTGGTCCCTAGGAGCCATCCGTCACCTCTTGTAACCTACTGGTTGAAGATCTAAATAAATTCTTGGCTATTAGATTGGTGTACAAGTCCAAGCTCCATATTGTGACAGCTGTTGAGGCCATTATAGTGCAGCCACTAGTGTTGGACAGTGTAGTGTAGCACTTAGTTCACACGAACAATCTATAAATCATTTGCAGAGCAGAAAAAAGACCATTCGGCCCATTGTATCTATTGCTAGCGCTGTCTGTCTTCCACATTAGAGCTCTCTACTATAACCCCATTCCCCTGCTCTTTTCCTATCGTCTGAGCTACACCCCCTGCTTTCTTCTAACATTCTTTAATACATTGACTCAAGTATTTATCCAATCCTCTTTTAACCGCTGTCATGCGATCGAGAAAGAGGTGTAACTAAAAAAGTGAATGGGATACATCAATGTTTTGTTCAAACTGCAACATAACACTCCTCATTGCTTATAAGACAGGTAATGAACCCTGACATTTTAGGATGGTGAGAATGTGGAACTCGCTGCTGGAATCTGTGGTTGAAACAGAAAACAGTAATGTATTTAAGGGGCACCCAGGGGGAGATGGGAATAGCAGACGGGTATGGAAGAGGGGTTTGGGAGGACAGAGGCTCGTGTGGAGTACAGCATAAAATTTTAAAAAATGATCTGATGGTTGGGGCTCCTCTATTTAGTTTATTTTCCACAGTTCGTACAAAAATGGCTTTGGAATTTATGACTTTTCCACAATTCTCTGTGATCTTAAATAATA